GGAGCTGGACTTTCACCCCATGTATAAAAAATGATTTGTGAGGGGGAGAAGACAGTGCTGATTATGGCAGGGGGCTTTACATGAAAGCTGAGCTAAGAGAGTTGGAGCTGTTCAGAAACATGATTGTAAGTGTTTGGGCACAAATATAAAGAAATACTTTGCTGGACAATGTATATTTGTTTGATCTGGATTCATTATTGAAAAAAAAAAAGTTTGAGAGTTTAATACAACTTTGACCTTGGCTTTACAAGAATCTTGTGCACATGATGGGCTACTGTTTAGGTGGCGGACATAGAAGACAAGAAAAAGCCGAGAACTTTATGAAAGTTTAGCAGAAAAGTAAGGTACTTAGTTAAACTAGAATCATTTAGTTTGGAGAGACATCAGAGTTCAGTCCATATTGTTGTGTATTAAACAGGGTTTCTTTCCAGTCATTTAGCTGTCTTCAAATAGGCTTTGAATTACTGGCTTACATTTAGAAAGAAATGTCTGCACTGGAAAAATAACACATAAAGCAATATAATGTAAACAGATCTATTCCTTGAGATGAACTTTCCATTCAGCAGACATATACATGGCTATATTAAGACCTGATGTTCCTGCGGCCATCTCCAATCCATCATACATTGCTCTCATACTGTACTCAGGTGCCACATTTGAAGCTGTGCTTCCTTGTCTGAGCATCAAGAAGAACAGAACATGGTTTCCACAGGCTTAATGAACTGGAATTCAGCAAACAATGTTTATTAACTACAGCTCACACTAGTTCCATATTGCCCTTAAGGGCCCATTCACACCAGATGTGTTGGGGCTGCGTTGGCTGTTTTTTCCAATGCAACCCCAATGCGCAAGCAAGGCAACACTACAGGCAAAACCTTTTTCAGCGCAGCATGGTGTGACGTGATACATCCACATCGTGTTTTGGCCAATAGAACTTAATGGTATGTTATTCTTGACACAAACAGGTGGCAAAACATCTTGGGATGCCCCTGGCTCTATCCATCCAAAACCCTTATAAAGCCCGTAGTTGCAGAGTTTCCTGGGCAGTCCACCTCTCACTGGAATTTTAGTTGCAAGTGGATGATGGTTCTCTTACTGGATTCCCATAGAGCTTCTCTCTTGAATTTCCATACCAAGATCTTCCAGCCATTTTCTTAGTCTTGCTCTTTACACCACAGAGTCTCACTCCTTCTGCTTCAGAAGGAAGAACCCTGTGCCTGCTGGTGCATTTAACATGCAAATCCATCAAAATGATCAAGACCCCTTGTAAATGTCACATATGTGCAAATGGATGACAAGTCCAGAAAAAGAAGTCTAAATGAAATCAGATCTCCTGCTATGTATACGTGTTCCAGGTAAGTGACTCACAGCATTAAAGCCATTCGATTAGTATGACAGCCAGGCAGCTAGTAGTGCAAATAGGTCCACAATGGCACACTAATCTCAACACAGAATTACGACAAAGTGTATTTCCACTTCTGCAGCCGAATTGGGATAACGCCTACTATATATTTATAACATGTTCCCATTCACATAGTATGACCAAATAAATTAATAAATAATTGTCTGTCCTAACAAAGGGTTAAAAGAGAAGGCCTGATGTTGCTAATGTACTCCTGGGACCCAAGGTTAGCATATAGCAATCTAATGCCTGCTATCAGCTGACAGAGTTGTGCCTCAGTTGAATAGGATCCGAAGTAGATAATAACAATAAATAACTGTTTGTCCCCCTCCACCTGCATTTTGAAAACAAACATATACTACAGTGGGGGGTTCTCAAATTTGATTGCAAAAGTGGGACTACGCTTTAAGGGCCCTCTCCCTTCTGTGTTGCAGTAATGTTCAGGGGGAAAAAAATGCTTTTTACAGCATGTTAGAGCAACGCATGCATTTTCCATGATGGGTTGTGCCATTAATTCTGAATACCAGGGCATTTTCATTTAATTTTCATCATTTATGAATGGCACCTAAAACAGTAGCAGGCCTCGTATCTGCACTGCGGTGTACCACAGCTCACATTTGGTGTATGTTGGCATGCTGTGTTAGGGAAAAGGGTCGTGTCTGATTTGACTGCTCGTGGGTGTATAAGCAGCCCACTTAAAGTGAACGGGCTGCTCATACATGTTACAATCTGATTGTGCAATCTCCTTTAGATCCATCAACAACCATGTAATATGAGTAAAGGTGCCCATACACCTCACAATTATCTGCAGATTTTCTGTGCTCAGATGGAAAAAGTGCAACAGATTGGCCCAGGTGGAGATTACCCCATTCACACAGTTAAGTGTAGATGGAGGAATCTGTTGCACCTTTTCCATCTGACCACAGAAAATCTGCAGATCATTGTAAGGTGTATGGCCAGCTTAAAGGAGAACTATGGGGTTAAGGCTTTTCCCCATAGTTCTCCTTAGGGTAACGGGAGGACACAAACTAGCGTCCTCCCGTCACCCTAGGCTCAGTATACTGCGAGCTGTAGCTCACGGTATACTGAGACGCTGCAGTATACGGCGAGCTGCTGCTCGCCGTATACTAAGACGCCACAGCTGAAGCGGATCCCGACAATTATGTCTGGATCCGCCCAGCTGCGTGACTGACAGCTGGCTCTGCCTATCTAGAGGGCTTCCAATGACTTCAATGCTGAACGGGCAGTGTGCGCTTGCGCACACCGGCCCGTGCGGCATTTGTCTTACGAGCAGGCCACAAACCCACCGACAATCGTACGATTCTCGGTGAGTTTTCGAGCCTGCTCGTAAGACAAAAGACGTACGACCGTACAGTAGAAACAGTCGCACGCCTTCCATACACATGCCGATTATCGCGGATCGTACGATAATCAGCAGGTGTATGGGCACCTTAAAGCTGGCCATACACCTAAAAGGTGCCCACACACCTTGCGCTAATTGTACGATAATCTCAGGAAATCCCGCGATCGTACGATTATCGTAAGGTGTGTGGAAGGCGTGCAACCTCTGCTACTTTAAGGTCGCACGACTTTTATCTTAGCAACATGTTCGAAAACCCGCCGAGGATCGTACGATTGTCGGTGGGTGTGTGGCCCGTTCAGCATTGCAATCATCGCAAGTACGATCTGCCTGTCCAAGATAGGCATATCGTAAGTTTTTTTAATTACCGTACAACCATCGCAAGACAAAAGTCTTGCGATGGTTGTAAGGTGTGTGCCCAGCATTACAATTATCTGCAGATTTTCTGTGGTCAGATGGAAAAGGTGCAATATTTTCCTCCATCTACTCTAAACTAACAGTTTGCGCAGCGCTTTACAATATAAGGAAGACATTACAATAACAATACAATTGAAGACAAGATGGTAAGGAGGGCCCTGCCCCTGAGAGCTTACAATCTAAAAGTATTTAAAGTACATCAATTATGACATAAGTGTGGGTGCTGCCATTGCTTGTCTCCTTCTAAAAATGCTAGATCACTGGCTGTATCTGACTTCTGTACTTTTATGGTCACAGACCAGGAACAAGCACGCTGTACATGAGAGTCAGTATTCCTTATCCCTATACCTAGACAGCACAAAAAGCCAAAGCATCATCATGACAGGCAGAGAACAAGCATTCTTAAAGCAGCCGTCGGTATTGGCAGCCATTATTTTCTCATGACCATTTCCCTTTAAGAGGGTGTACCTACCAAAAGGAATGGCAGCCACAGGTCAAGTACAGGCCTAAGATAGATAGATAGATAGATAGATAGATAGATAGATAGATAGATAGATAGATAGATAGAGCCAGTGTTTTCATCACCCTTCAGTGATGCAGGGACAATGCTATCCAGATGTACTGTATATGGAGAAGGAAACAGGAAATCTGCTTTAATGGCAACGCCATATACTGTAACATATCTAATCAATAATCTATATAGCCAACTGTTTCCTTCTGATCAACCTCAAGGATTTAAAATGCATTAAAGAATACACAAAACCCTTGTTTCCAATCCGCCAATAATAAAGATTTAAAAATATATTTTCATTAGCTAAATTACAGAGGTGATCACTTAACACGGTACATAACTAATATATAAAAAAAGTTCAAACATACAGTATATAAAAAGAATACCCTTTTTTCAGGAAAATATTTAAAAAGGAGTATATACACATGAAGTTTCTATTTTGAGTAGAGAGGGGTTAGAGACCCTGCCATGGTTTTAGTGCTCCCCTACCCTGGGGAGAATCAGGCTCTCTATTTGCTCAGGTGCCCATTGTCATATAGGCAGCAAATGATGTCCACAAGTTGTCAGCCAAATAAGGGTAAAGTGTCATTCTTCCAACGGGGACCCCTTTACAATTGACAGCTGTCATATGTGGGAATTGCCCCACATTAAATAGATCACCTCTTACTTTCTGTTGTGTATCTGGGAGAGGAAGTTAAGGAATTTCTCCCCGATGGGACACATATATAAAAAAAAGGAGCCATCGCTGCAAGCTCGCACCCATGATGGACTACAATCTCACGTTTAGTTTACCAATTTGTATTGAAATGACAGTCTATCACAGAAGAGGGCTTGGAGCGGTGGCTACTTTACAACACACACAGGGACCATGGTGAAAGAAAGTAGCCACCCTCCAGAAGGAAGCACAGTGTCAGCACCAATTCAGAGATGATTTGAGTATCTACAGCCGAGTGATACACAAATAAGATACACTTTTGTTAATAGTTAAGGTACTTGAATGCATTTTTAAGATTTAACCCCAGAGTGTAGTGTCACTTTAATTTTCCAGAACAGTGACATAAGCCCCGGCAGCGAACATCAAGAGCAAAGAACGACCAGGGACGGTATCTGCGGTGCATTGAGGTGTTAATGTACATCCCTATTAACCTCTTCCTGGACTAGACTCAACAGGTTTCCATGTTAGAACAGGTTGTTGATGTGATCCACAGCCACTCAATGACCTGTGTCAGCTCAGGGAAATGTTGGGTGATTTCCTAAACGTCAGAGGTTCAGAAATAGCGACAGTTTCTGGAAGTTGACTTTGTACTCACCGGTTTCTGGGCAGCGCCTGTTTCTGATGTCGTTGTGACAGTGGACGCAGTTTTGTATCTCATCATCTTGTCATAGGTCAGAGATCTGTATATGTTCCACAGAAAGGTTTGCTCCTTTAGTCCCCTGTTGTTGACCTCAGTTAGTAGGCTTGCTCCATGTAGTAAGATTACTCATGTGTACACTTGTCCTGAGACAGTCTAAGAAGGGCTTTGAGCTCTGATGATCAGACAGTGGAAGTGCTGTTAAATCTCTCCTCCCCTTTCCTGTAGCTGGAGATGTCCCGATAGAGTAATCCTCCACTGTCCACAAGTGTGTATACAAGAGCTGAATGACAGCACCCACTACTCTGCTCTATGTGGGCTTGACTGAGCCAGGAGAGCTTGTCAGAAAACACTCAGGTGCTGATTTGTCTGCAGCTCATCTCACATGGAGCTTCCTACTCGACTTGTCAGGCAGCATTCATGGCAGATATTTGTGCTGCTTACCTGGACATAAGCATGAAGTACGTCAGACAACACCCTCCCACCCTGTGACAGCCAGGAGGGTGTGCACTGTGACAGCTGAGACCTGGCTCAGGTTAACCTGTCCCTCTCCACAGGCCAGGGACACACTCATGCAGCAGCAGTTCATTGGCAAACCATCCATTCAGCTTTCTACATATTGATCTGTAAAGTTTCATTAGTATAGTATTCAGTGAACTTCAATACACACTGCCTGGCCGAACAAAAAAAAGTCACCACCTGGATTTAGCTAAGCAAATAGGTTAGAGCCTTCCATTGGATAGTAGGTCTAGGTTCAGCAATGGTATGTCCCCACAAATTGAGGTCAGCTGCCCACCTAAATATACTGAATTATTAGTTTTTTGTCATCAAGGGATTTTTATTTTCCTGATGGCATGGGTATATTCCAAGATGACATTGCCAGGATTCATCGGGCTCAAATTGTGGAACAGTGGTTCAGGGCGCATGAGACATCATTTTCACACATGGATTGGCCACCACCAGACCTTAACTCCATTGAGAATCTTTGGCATGCGCTGGAGAGGACTTTACGCAGTGGTCCGCCATTCCCATCATCACTACAAGATCTTAATGGAAAATAAATGCAACTCTGGATGGAAATAAATGTTGTGACATTGCATAAACGTATCGAAAGTATGCCACAGCGAATGTGTGCCGTATTTAAAGATAAAGGCGGTCCAGCTAAATATAAGAGTGTGTGTACATTGTCTACATTTATTTCAGTTTTATATACGAGCAGGGCCCTCCTAACCCTCCTGTATTGAAATTGTATTGTAACTGAACTGTCTCCCTCCATTTTGTAAAGTGTTGCAGAAACAATTGGCGCTATATAAATCATGTATAATAATAGTAATATTAATTCACATGTATTTGTGGATTGCAGCAGTTAAAGCTGAACTCCGAGTAAAAATAAAAAAATTACATTTATGTGGTTGCTGCTGCGTTCAGAAAAACACTCTATGGTGTGCTGGTGACATTTTTCTATTGTTCATGTATGGCGGTGCCATCCGCAGTCATTTCGAGCACACATCCTCATCAAGTGGGAATCCCGGTAAGGAGTGTGGTATGGTTCCTGTTTCTGTTCGTACAGTAGAAACGGTTGCACGCCTTCCAAACACTTTGGGATTATCGTACGATCGTGGGATTTCCGCGAGATTTCCCGCAATTATCGTACGATAATCGTACAGTGTATGGGCACCTTTAGTTCTGGCTGTATTACAGCTCTGGTAGAGGGTTGCTCTCTGTCCACCTTAGTCATTCAGAAAACCTCTTGTACGCTTTTCACAGTATATCAGACGTTCTGTGATTGGATAAGGGGAGCTCTTGGCGTTCATCCGCACATTCACAGAACGCCCTGTATACTGTGAAAAGAAAACATTACATTTTCTGAATGGCTGAGGTGGGGAGCGAGTGACCCGCTATCAGAGCCGTACTACAGCCAAGACTGTAAAGCTAGGTATACACAGTTATATTTTCTTTGTTCAGCCTGCGGGCTGAGCGAATAAACTATAACACATTAGTCCATCAATGTCTATAAGCATGGGTTAATGAATCCCCCGCTGTTTTATATTGCATTAGATTACATTATATTGCAGAATACCCAAATGGAGCCTGCAGCAGATTGGCTGCAAACTACATTTGGCCAAAGATGTTTGAACATGATGAGCTGACTGAGGGATGTTGGGTGGAAGGGTGGCAACAAGGGCACCCATGAACTGGCTGAAATATGCACAGTGTATAGCTCACCTAATGCCCCATTCACGCGGGTCTTTAAGTTTAGGCTGGGGATTCCTACAGCAAGAACCTGCAGATTTTTGTGGCAGGAACCCCAGGTGTCCCCATACAGATGCGTCCGCTGTGCCTGTTCAGATGAATGTCAGTGTGACAGCAGTTGCATCTGTCGGCGGCAGTCCACATTTGATCATGCAAGGAATCATCGTGTGGTTTTGGATTGATGATTGTTCCTGGATACAATATGTCTGTGTCCAGGGACAATCATTTATCAAGGTTTCCAGACAGTTGGCTCCAACTCTGTTAGCTTGGCATCCCAGAACTTCCTGTCTAATACAAAAGAGCACAGTCTTCGGAAACTGTCCATCTACTAGCTTGGAGGAGAGAGGAAAGGGGAACAGGAAGCAGGGGAGCAAGGCACAAGGAGCAGGAAGTAAAGTTTGCTATATTTTGCAACAGGTCTAAGCTTGAGTATAGCTAGGCACTTTGTAGGCTTTTTCTATGTGTTTAAACACAGAACAGGAGCATCATTGTGCATTTTTGCCCCCATAGACTTTGAAATGGGCCATTAATGCATATGGGGCCAAAGACACAAAAATGTACTCTTTCAAGCTGCACACCATAGGTGACAAACAACACAACACTCAGGTGTGATCAGGCTCACTGAAAATAATGGGATTCTTCATCCTTGTCCTTCTTCAGAATTCCCTCGACAAAACATTTACCTGGCCGATGCAGCACCCCACTTATTGCAGATTGCTTACACTTAACATTTCAGAATGTAACACCGTTATTAAAGCTCTGACTGTGTGTTACTGCATAGAGAGTATTAACATTCTTCTGATTATTGTTTATTGGAATTCTACGTTTTATTACATCACGTATACAGTAGGTTGCTTCCAAAAGTATTTTTGTTATGTTATGTTGTTACAATATTAATTTTATGCTTACAAGTGATTAATGTATATTATTAGGAATGATCAACATTTCATCGTGACAAATTGAGCTTTAGAAGCATCACCGCCACTTTAAACATACACGCCCTTATTAATGTTATTGACATGGGATCCGGAGCGTGCATGCTGCACTAAAGAGCAAACACACACAACACACACAATACACAGTGACAGCTGATAGTGCAGCCAGCTCCTGTTACTGAACTCTTCCTCTCATGCAGCTGACACATGGGTCAAACCCTTTATGTGCCAGCAGCAAGTGCATAGCTGATAGTTGTTACTGAATTTCTGGCACAATTATTATTATTATTATACAGGATTTATATAGTGTTCCCTGAACTTCCAGGTTGCAGGCGGAGGATACTGATTGCAAAGGAGCCATAGGCTCTGTCTGCCATTATTATTATTATACAGGATTTATATAGCGCCAACAGTTTGCGCAGCGCTTTACAATATAGGGAAGAGATTACAATCGCAATACAAATCAAGACAAGATGGTAAGGAGGGCCCTGCCCGTGAGGGCTTACAATCTAAAAGGGAGGGAGAAGTGATACCAACTGTATGTAAAAAAAGGAATGATTCATAATGGAAATTATAGGACTCATTGTTTTCATTCCACAACTCTCTGATGATGACAATAAGTGACAGGTCACATTGTATTCCATGATGTTATTATATAAGCAATGAAAACAACAACAATGATAAAGTGATAATAATTGTGGCCAGGGCCATAGGAAGTGCGAGGCGAGTGAGGCATTCGCTTGGGCGCAGATGTGAGGGAGCGCAGCCAGGGGCGGCCCTGGCTGCGCCCCTTTGCTCCTGTTTCCATGGCAAGCACAGGGTCACCAGGCGGCCAACACAGGGCTGCAGGGAGTAGAGGAGTGGCACAGCTTGCAGCTTCTCCTGAGATCCCCACTGCTCTACCCAGGGCAGAGGCAGCTGGGATCCGAGGAGAAATGGAGTGCTGAAGCCAGTGGGGGGGGGGGGGGGGGGGGGGGGGGGGGCGGATGAGGGAGCTGTCATCTAGGATGGCTGAGCACTGAGGAGAGACCCGCTCGGCCAGGATCTGGCAGCTGGCTCTCTCCTCAACCGCTCGGCCATGTTAAAATGACGGCTCCCTCCTCCTCCACCGGATTCAGTGCTTCATTTCTCCTTGGATCCCCACTGCCTCTGCCCATACAGGGGGGGAGCAGCGGGGATCCAAAGAGAAGCTGCAGGCTGTGCCGCTCCTCTGTGCATGGCCGAGCGGCTCAGAATGGAGAGCTGGAGGATCGGTAAATATCAGTGATATACACTGATCCTCTGTGTGCAGCATAAACACTGGAGTGATCAGGTGATCACTCCAGTGTTCCAGTGTTTGCAAACAACTAGGAACACATGGTACTATGTGTCCCCAGTTATGAATGAACAGAAAGTGCTTTACATCGCTTCCTGTTCATTCTTTAGTTTCTGAATGGGTCGTAGCACTCAGTACAGAAGCTTCTATCCATTCATAACTGGATGATAGTAACTATTTTACTATCACCAGTTTGTGAATTAATTGGAAGCCTCTGTACTGAGTGCTTCCCATTAATTCCCAGCAACAGGCATGACTCCTAGAGGCAGATGCATGATGGGATTTGTAGTAAATGCTAAGCTGGAGTTCTACATACCAGAATTAAATATAAAAAAAAAGAATTGTTCCACTGGGAAACCTTTTTTTTCTAAGGAAGAATATAGTGTATTCGTGTGAGCACATGGTTTAATGTATAATTTATGTTTTCTTATTAAAGGTTTTTTTTTGTATATCTTTCACATTTTGACAAGCTTGATCTTCCATTGTTTTGTTATTGTATTAAATCTATTTTTTTCTAAAAAGGCTCCCAGCTCTTGCCACACAGGAACTCTTTTTCACCACTAGATGATCTTAGTCATCTGAGTTGAATAACACCCAGTGCCATTCAACCCAGAAGATTGGGGGGATACTGTGGGTGTAAGGCTTCAATGGCGTTCACCCTAAAGTCAGGAGTTAAATCTTAAAAATACATTCAAGTACCTTAACAAAAATGTATCTTATGTGTTTATCACTTGACTGTAGATCCTCAAATCATCTCTGAATTCATGCTGACACTGTCCTTCCTTCTGGGGAGAATCAGGCTCTCTATTTGCTCTG